AGCGTAATATAATTTTACATTATAATTTTTCTTGTTACCTAGTAGCTGGCTGGTAGCTTTCCGAAACGATGCCAATCCGTTGCTGGTAGCTCAGCTGGCATGTAACTGCTGTGTTTCTATTTTTCTTTTATGTATTGCGGCACAATAGCCGAAGTGTTTTGAACCTCTAGCTAACGTGTATAATGATGATGATGAGTGCCGCGGTACAGTCTGATCAACAGAATCAAGGGCTGCACGGATATCCAAGAACACAGCAATCGTTAGCCTCTGATACACATGGCGGAGCTCGAGGATCTGGTGGAGTGTAAAGATTTGATCGATGCAGCCGCGACCAGGGCGAAACCCAACTTGTTCTTCTCGTTGTAAGGATTCGCGCGTTGGGGATAGCCTGCAATGTATGGTGGACACCAGCAGATTACAAACAACGGCTACTAACCCTATGCTTATGTAGTTGGAGCACATTGAGCGCAGTTCCTTTTCGAAGATGGGGACGACTATCGGTTCACCGCAAGATGATGGAACTTCCTCTTTCGACCAAACTTTAGAGAACAAAGCAATGAGTTCTCGAACCAGCGAAGTGCCATCTTTAAATAAAGCTGGAGGAAGACCATCAGGGCCGGAGGCTATATAACGCTTCACGTAGCGGAGCACCTTCTCGAGTTTTTGGTAAGAGGAAGGATCTGCACGGATCCATCGCTCCAACGGTCGTTGAAGATTGGTGATTAAGGTGTCATCCTCTTCGCATATTGTTTCACTTATACCAGATCGAACACGTTTGGTGACTCTAATGAGATGGAAAACTATTACCATCTCCCTAGCACGTTCACATCACCAAGCTTCGCGGTCCATTTACAGACTCCTGCGCCACTCTCGACTCAGGGATTGGCGTTCTGCACGGTGTCTAGAATCCGACGGGATCAAGCGGCGTTTGTCTGTCAGCGACAAAGAGACGGCGGAAATCCAATGCTTCGGTGGGTGACGGGCAACTCATCAAGTGTCGATACTGGCGAAAACTAAGGCATCTTTGTTCTGCGCCCACTGCGAATCGAGGTCACCATCAATAGTTGAGTCAAGCAATGTTGATAGTGTGGCTTGGTACCTGGTTAAAATCGCAGGGTTTTATAGTTTTACGACGTCCGGTCGGTAGTGAGCGCGCTTAGATGATCCTCCGAAACGCATGCAAATCTTAACACGAACCAATACGTGATCGGAGTCTAGATAAGTTGACCAGTACGATAGACAGTTCGTTACATTTCCGCGCCATCTGTAGCTGATTGCTATGTGGTCAAGCTTGGAGCACTATTGCGTTTGTGAAGGGGGGGGGCGCCAGGTAGCAGTGTGTCTCCTCGCGTGCCGAAAACCAGTGCTCGAAACAAGAAACAAGCGATGATCAGAGGAAAGAGCAAGCAGTCTGTCTCCATTGTCTGCTCGACTGCTACGGAGGACAAAACTACCTCCATAGGTGGTGCTGGCTTGGTGGAAGGCGGCGCATTCGTGCGTTAAAGTCCCCGGCAAGGCTGACTGTCAGTCATTTTGGAGGAACACAGAACTTCATGTAGCTGCTAGTAAAAACTATCCTTTACTGCATCCGGGCTGCGGTCTGTAGGGGCGGAGACGACAAACAAGGCACGCTTAACGTCTCGACGTCTGCTCACATTACATGAACCTCTTATTCGGACTGCGAATAGCCGACTGTTGACTGGGATCCAGTCAAGCAGAGCTGATTCAGCCCTGACACTCAGTGCAACCCCAACACCAGCTTTACCAGTGGCTGCAGCTTTTGGGTCTCCGGAAAGCTGCAAGTTGTATTTGGCGTCAGCGTTTACCGGAGAGACCATTCTGATGACGGCGCTAGAGTCTTGTAATCTGGTATCTGAAAGACAACAGATGTCTACCGAGAGCGTTTCAAGAGCACGAACCAGACATGCTTGTCGTCTGATCTACACCAAAGTTCGAACATTAAACACTGCGAGGGTGAATGGAGAACCAGGTCGAAGAAGAGCTGGAGCTTCGGTGGGGTGAGATACGGTTACGATCGCATGACATTGCAAACCGGGAGTTTGGCTGTTACTTCTATAATTTGCGAGAAGTGAGTCGTTTGTGACGGTAGCCAAAGAAGACATGAGAGTACATATTGATGAAGGACGAGGGGTGGGGTGATCTGAGTGAAGGTTGAGGAGTTGAGTTAGCATAGAAGATAGGTATAGCAGTAGCAGTAGTATGCAGTGTGTTCCATGATTCGTCAGTGGGCGTGATACTACCCGGTTTCTTAGGCCGAAGTAGTGAGTTGTCTTAGGGTACCCTACCCCGAGTCTTTGATAAAGATCTAACCTACAAGGCAGCAGGGTTATGTGAGTGCGTCGCAACTTGTTGGGAGCCGATGACCAACTAGATGGTTCATGCGCCTTTCGGTCCGTGAAGGACCATGGGCCCAACGCACCCTTGAATTACATTCCTATCAGGGCGGGGCAACGGGGGTGACTATTTGGTGTCGAGTCACATCCACCACGTCGCAGTGTTGTTAAACAGACATTTGTGTTTTTTTATACGGAGAACGCTTGCCAGGCGAAGACCCACCACATCCTAGAACACTGCCGCCGAACCATTTGCTGGAACGGAAAAACCCGAACCACCTAGCTGGCACCACGAGGAGGTTGTTCGGCAAGCCAGCCTTTTCACGTAGTTAAGAGTGCGTAAGTGTTACTTGATAACAACAGTGAAAATCTTCCCTGAGGTGCCGCCTTTTCATTTAAACGTTTCCTTTTTTCTTCATTTCGGGTATTGAGAATCTGTCAGCGCGGATGTAAAAAGTTTCCGAAAGACCGCAGATCTTAAAATAAACATTTAGATAGCTTGTCAAATTTTCACAATGCTTGGATATATCATGGTCAACGAATAAACTTTTGTGAATGCAACCATTTCACGAAGTCGGTCTATAGTTTTTGAAGATCACTGCCTCCACTTGAACCCTTGATCATTGCAGCGACTGATGCCTTGTTGGTTTGTCTTGCTATAGATGACAGGAAACATCTTGATTGTTAAGTGTTCTGGATTGTCAATTGCGACCCGGTTAACCATCTGAGGGCGTTGAGGACCAAGGATACAAAAAGGTCGATCTCGGTTTCTTTCAGCTGCTGCTGTGTCTGCACCAGAGTGTCCTCAAAATGCTGTTCAACGGTCTCGTCTATGCGCTGCAGAGCATTTTCAGTCAGTCGCTCTCTGTTGTCTTCTGCACAATTGATGATGTTCCTTAGCTTGCTGTCATAGACATCGGCGACTTCAGCAACTTCGTGAGTGGTCTTGTCCTCGATCACGTTTTATCCAATGACGTTTGCATCGTCGCTTTCTCGGAGGTACGTCTTTTCATCGTTCATCGCTCACTTTGGTCGGTTCGTGCAGCAATAAGCCAATAAAGCCATGCAATGTTAAGTAGAGTCATAACAGCCTTCATTGTTGTAGTAGTCGCGCAACTGCAAACTTGCACGCGCACACACTACGCAAGTTCCGATAGGGAGACGGGAAAATTTGGTCCCCTTTTTGATCTAGGGGAACGATGCTGATGATCAAGAGAAGGGCTTCCACTAGCTTCCGATGCTTGCACAATTCGGGTTCTATTAGCCTGACTGCTGCGTAGCCTGAGCATCGTCCAGTCGCGTCAGTCCTCATTCTTTGCTAACAAATTGCTGAGACATTGGTTTATGTGCATTTCACTTACCTATGCTTAGTTGTATAGGTAAGTGATATGTAGACAAGCCGAAGCTGCGCAGTGAGAACACAGTCAAGGTGAGTTTATCTCCAACTAATGTTGACTTTAGGGATTTGGAATAAATGGCAATGGATCGCAGCCAACAGCTTGGTCACATGAAACATGTGCTTGGGTAAGGTTAGTCAGAAAGGAAAACATCCGTCAGATGCTGACGAAGCAAGGTCCGTTAACATCGGGCACTGTATGCTGCAGCACTTGCATTCGTGCGTGCCTCAACCGCGCCGGTTTGGCAAATTATCAGCGTAGCCACAAAGACAACTTGTATCTTAAGTAGCTAAGTGTCAGTGCATAATAATCACCTTTCCCCCGGTTTCATTCACTAACCTAGACCAATAATGCTACATATAGGGCACATGTGCTGCATCTTCACTGCTGTTGGATTATGTATGTGCTTGTGGATGTATGTTATCGCATTTTCGACATCCTTTACCAGCTGATCTTCCAGGTCTGGCTGCGCGTGATTTGCATGTTGGCAAGGCACTTATCTGTGAAAAGCCGCCACATCGATTACTGGCTCCATGTGGCTGTTAGTCGTTGATGGGGGGTGATGGACTGCATGGTCTTCGTTACGGTGCTAGGCTCAAGGAATGCTTCCATGTACTCATCCATAATTCTATACATCGGCGAAGGATGAGAAATATCTTAGCTATTGTTGCGCATTTACAATTCAAGATGGCACTGAAAGAAGAGCTGAAATACTAAAGCCTAAACATGGACCTGCAGTTTAGCAACCATTTTTATCGAGCGCATTTTGCCGGCCCACAATCTCTTCATCAAAGAATTATCCGTTGTATGTTATCAGCGATACTATTTCCCCTTTTTACTTTTTATCTCTTTAACTTTTATCTACTTTTAATAGCTATTCTTCGTTTTCGCTGCCGGCTTCATGTGTTGCGATCAAACATTCACCCATTCCGGATACTTACAGCGCGTTCACAACTTGTTTTTCTCTGTAACTTTGTATTGTTACCTTTCTATAGAACAATTTTATTTTTTCTTCTCCCGTGGCCTTTTACTCCTTTTCGTTTTCTAGCTGCAGTTGACTGTCACGGCAGCAACTTCTAGCCTAGGCACAGTGAACGGTGACACGTTTATCAGCATGTACTTCAAGTGTATTTCTTTAGGTCCATAAAAATTTCTAATCGTTTTTTTCATTGCTAGTTCAACGACGCACTTAAAAAGGAACTTCCACCTGATTCTGCAGTTCCGATTGAATTTGAACAGTATCACCGAGATGCGACTCACTCACAGGTTAGATTGCTCATATTTACGTTCTTCGGTTCCATTTGATTGTTCCTTTTACTATTTCTTTAGCAGTATTACATAACCTCTTCTTTGAGAATGGTGGCGTAATACAGATGTTTTAACGACCTTCATCGCAACCAACTTATGTTTTACAATCCACACGCATCAAGCAGGACGCTAACCAACTGTTTCTTTCAATTTGAGCAGTATACATCCTCTTCGGATTCTACCGGACTCGCGCTCACGACCATCCTCTTGCGAGGCGGTAGCTTAACTCACCGACTCATGATTGACAGCGGTCAACTGGTACGATTTACACTCAGCTGTGACGCAACGCGGCTCGCCATACACTTTCACGCTCGTCTCCAACATGCACAGAACAGATTTATCCCCATAGAGACATGACGTTCCTCACTGAGCTTCTAGTCATTCGATAGCGTTGTAAACCGGATCGGCCTGTCACTGCCTGTATGAATCACGGGGGATGTTTATCTTCAGTAATGCGAAAATTACTTTACTAATAGCATAACTCAAAGTGATTGGCAATGACTGAGTAATGAATTCTTTTTGCTAACAGTCTAATCAGATTCAGACGTTTGCATAATAGGGATCTCATGCTAAAGGTGCCTAGTTGGGCTGAATATTGATTTGTAATTCAACGGCCACATCGTTAAATCAAGTTATCACTGAATATAGTAGATCAACTACAAGGGAAGAGTACCAAGGCACATCATTTTTCGCAACCAATCAATGGTTAGTGGGTACAAATCGAGTGTAACGCGCATCATTATATCACGCACCAGGCTCCGACGACCGCGTCACGTGTAGCATAAGCCAGCGCACCGACTTCCGCGATGTGCGTTGTTTGCGCTACTGGGGTGTGGATGGAAAGAGGGAGGACAAGCGATGGCTTGATCAAGAGGAATGAAGTCTCTCACTTCGAATATGTTTTCGGTTGGTGGCTCCCGACTACCAAACTTGTGTCCCAAAGACGACGAACACTTTTGCTTGGACACACTTGTTGATATGGCGAAGTCCCGATCCAAATGATGTTCGTGTTGTGAGTTTCTTCGTCCCTCTCTTCCCGCTTCCCTTCCCCCCTCCAACCACAATCTCACACTCCAATCGTAGGATGATACTTGCCTTTTATCGCTTTTCGTTTTCTGTAATGTTTTCTGTCGCATTTATACCTATCTTTTTATTGCGGCACAATTACTGAAGCGTGTTTCACACCTTCAGCTGACGTGTATTGATGTACTGATAATGCTTTTTGCTGATACTCTTAGCAGTTAGACGGCGAATGTCAATCTGTTACGGAGAGTCAGTGTTCAGACCGAGAGCAGTGTCGCAACAGTGGATCGATCCACAATTAGAGATCGAACGTGAATATAGGTCAAAATGCTAATCTATATGCAATCAACAGCAAGTCGGACCATGAACTTGAACCGTTTGCGTTGTGTTTATTAATGGTAATTAGCATCTCCAATTTTATTGTGTTAGTGATATCATACAACCTATTTATTGCACCATGCTCTCATACATTAGAATCAGAATCGGAATCGCTCGGTCCGGTTGTTTTCTTGGTGTTCTCATTTCGTGTTGGGTTGAACAGGTTAAGGGCGGCAGCAGCAGATTGAGGCAGCTTATCCATAAAGTCAGCGGAAACCACAACACATTTCTGGCGACGGACAACTGCATGTTAGCAGCAGAGTAGCCGTACATTCAACGGCACCACAACATGTTTCTGGCGACGGAAAGCTGCAGGTTACCCCTTACATTCAGTGGCACCACAACACAATCTGAGCCCCGTTTTTTAGAAAGTGCATAGGCTACATACTAACATCGGACCACTTGTTCGTATAGCCTCCCGCACGCGCACTTCCTATGCTCCTTGCTCCCCCTGATCGCCTGCGCATATAGAGCTGTTATAGTTGCGGTACATGCCAACGAAATTTCTTTCACCATCCTTTGAGGCATGTGAAACTCAGGGCTGCGACTAGATCTGTGGATCTGCATTGGAGTGAGGACGGTTAGTACTGTTGGCTTATCGTATTAGACAGGATGAACCTTTGGGATTTCTGTGTCGGTGGTTTAGGGTTATTTTACACGAGTTAGTTAAAGAATCATTGACACTCGCATTTATTTTTCAACAATCAATGTTTCCTACATTCTTCGAGTGTGATATCTTCCTTCTTCATGATTTTCTGTTTTTGGAATCTAGAGGTTCTCAAGTTTTCACCGTTTCTAATGCATTTTATCTAATATTAGTCGCCTAATAAAACATACGTTATAATTCTTTAAAAAATGGCATCAGCATTACGGCACTGCGCAGGACCGACGCTTCGCTGCCATGCAACTACCACCGGCCGCACATGAGCTATGAATACTACGAGGGTCGCGCGGTCCCTACATATGCTCGATCCTGCACCCTCGAATTACAAGACAGGCTTCCGATCCCTAAGGCTACGAGCCGTGCGATTCATGCCTTTGGATTGTAGCACCTGTTTCGACGTACCCCAAGTGTATGACGGCAGGTCACATACACTTAGACGAGACGGATGTTCAGACTCCTTGTTACAGTTATGTAGCGACACCACTCGTGACTTGGATATATATATCTTTCTTTCGAGTATATATATATATATATATATATATATATATGCGTTGTGAACCCACTCTTGGGCCATATACTGAGGTAACTTAGTCTCACTAGCGCTGGGTTCGGTCCTAGATGAGTCTGCATCCAGTGATTGTTCTCATTTTCCTTTTCTTCCCGTTCTACTTACCGGAAGTTAGGTCGCAATGATTACCACTCTACCAACTTCCTCACAAACATGCTGATTGTCCTCATTAGGGCGAAACGGCTTTCTAACGCTTATTCGCATGTGCTATGACTGTTTGACTGAATCTGGTTGTAGTGCGCTTTCTCAAAAACGTTTTGTAAGTTTTCGGCTATTATGGTTATGCGAACAATGACACCTAGATCCACCGCACTTTTTCTAGGGGTCACAGTTGATCAAGAACGACGGCGTAGTAATAAATTCGTATCCCTGTTTTTATTGGCGCATTTAGCAGATATGTTCGTGGGATATATTTTTAATGGTTCAAACCGCTTTCGCCTGTTTCTTTTTTCAGCTTGGGCGGTGGTGACGCCATTGATTGGAAATGCCCGGATTGGCGCGAATACAAGCTTGATCATCCTGAGCTTCAAAAACACGTCAAATCACTTGCAGCCAAAGGCTTGAAGGATCCATGGATACGGTATGCCGTCGTGTTGTAGCTGGTCTGGCTGTTCTTTTCCGGTCACTTAAACTCGGCACTCATTTGAATACGCGTTACTGCTGACTGTTTTTCGGTTTCCTACATTACTAAGGTTGCCCATGGAGCCTTATTTATTTCACCTAACAAAAGCTTGTCCACAGCGGTGTGGCACGCAACCCTCTACAAGGCGACAATGATCAGCAAATGAAACCGATTAAGTTAAACTCGATTGGACGGGTGCTGTTTGCACTCACTTCTACTCACCGAGAAGGCCATTACTTGCCAAGATTGGCCTGCGTTTCGGATGAATGTTTACCCAGGCGTTGAGGCATCTGTCACTTTCATCAGTTACGAACGCTGAATGTTATGGTCCGCGACAGACATCAGTAACATCTGGGTTGTTCTGCCGTATGCTCTATTCATTTCGATCAAATAAAGCGAAAAGCATATGGATGTAAGACACCGAAAAGAACCGTCTTTGTTTCTTTTTCCTTCTGTTGGTTCCCAATTTTCTCATGGATCTGGTGGCACAAAGGCTGCTTTCAAAATTATATATATATATATATATATATATATATATATATATGCGGAATTCGGTCACTGTGGCCAGCCACAGGACGCCTGTGCCTACAAAGGGTATCATGGGTGCTTGCGCTGCAGCACCCAAAGCTCCAGCCACACACCCCATATCCAGTGTAAATCCGAAGGAATAAGACCGGGAAGCCTGTGAATGGGAGCCACGTTTCATCAACGCAGTCGGCCCACACTCCTTAACAGGCAAACACAAGCACGCTATATTTGGGAATCAAACGCATACAAGGCGGTGGCTGGACCGTAGTTCGCTCCACACTGGGTGCATGGAACCACTCTTTGATCCTAACACAGCCACAGGGACCGTGCACCCCGTCCTCTCCAGCAACGACCAGCTGTCTCCTGTAACCAGATGGACGATATAGTGGGTATTAGACAGGTAGGCACCTTGTCAACATGCACATCAAGCGCAGGTCGGCCGGTGGCCGAGTGGTCTGCACGTTTGCTTTGCAACCATAAGGTCACCGGTTCGAATCCGCGTAGGGGTGGGCGTCCTCGCGGTATACTTAGCCCGCGCGCGACTGGTGGTGGTCGCGCGGCAGCGAAGCGCCGTTACGGCGTACAGCTGACACATTATTATTATTATTATTATTATTATTGTTATTATTATTATTATTACATCAAGCGCAGCCACACCGGGGATATCGAGCCAATCACTTGAGAGAAACATAACCAATAAACTAAATCGAGTAATGCATAAGGAAACGGTGACATAAATCTTAAATTAATGACTATATGATATAAGTTGTTTACAAAAGAATCCGAGATAAGTTCACGAGGTCAGAAAGTATATTTTACGGAAGTGCCACAAACACGAAAATGTTATCGAAATTAACTACATTCGGCTTAAGCGACGTGTGCAAGTTTATAGAAGATAGGACAGGTAGACATTTATATGAGAAAGAAAAGAATTAGGACAAAATTGAAAACCCACCACCTGAAATAAAGAGACTTAGCATGCAAGCACGCGGTTAGTAAATCGAATGCAGCGTACCTACAAACGCTGCGCTGGTTCTGCCTACGTTCTCTGCAGGACCCGTCGTTGCTTCGGTAGTGGTCCCGAGTGGCCTCGCTCACGGCTCACTAGGCCTCCCTGACTCAGGCACTCGCGACCGCGTGTGCTACAGCACCATGCGCTCCATGTCGATGGAGTACAACTAATCGGTGCTTGCCGCTTCCGCACTTGCCGCTTCTTCTCTGCATGTATGAGGCCTTTCTCCCGCACTTCGGCGACTGCCTTCGTGATTAGATCGCGCCATGCACGCCGATCAACCGCCTTCGATTCCCATGACCTGCAACCAAGATTGGAACGTGAATGACTCACTTTGATCATGTAACTTTGATCACGTAACTGGTTTCTCCACGTGCCGCTTCCCAATACTCAGCTGAGCATATACGAGTCGCTTCGGTATCCGCGTCGAATCCATACGGCTCACATGACCGAGCCATCTCAGGTGTCTCAGCAAAAGTATGCAGTCCACTGCATACATTCCACTTTGTCGCAACACTTCCGTGTCCGCAACTCTGTCGCCCCAACCGATGCGCAAAATCCGTCGTAAACACTGCTGATGGAACCGCTGGAGATATCGCACATCCCGCCGGTACATCGTCCATTTTTCACTGCTTATAGAAGAACGGACAGCATCATGGATTTGTACACCATCAGTTTCGTGCCAGTGGTAAGCTGATGGTTGTTCCACACTCTGTAGTCTAGCTTCCTGAATGCCGCCGCTGACTTCGACATGCGGATGCGCAGCTCACTGTGTATCTGCTGATCAGTCGACATCACACTACCAAGGTAGCAGAAGCGGGAGGTGGTTTCCAATACTTCAGCACCAATGCTGATTCGCGGCAATATTGAAGATTGCACCTCCGTTGAAGGCTGAAAGAGACAGTTTTGCCTATGTTGATGGTGAGCGCGAATTTGGTCGCTGTCGAAGCCAGAGCACTAGTCATGTGCTGCAAGTCATCCGCGCTGTGTGAAAACAACGCACAATCGTCAGCAAACAACAATATACGGATAGTTGTCTCACAGACTAGAGTTCTCGCACCGAAACGACGGATGTTCAGAAACCCACCATCAATACGGTGCTCCACACGAACACCGTAAGCACAAGCCGCATCAAAAGCACAAGACATCATTGCATGAAGATAGATATTAAATAGGGCAGGAGCTAAGACACAACTTTGCTTCACACCAGAGATAACTGCCAAGTCGTCCGAGGTCTCTCCATTCAGTTGCACCCTCGCCCGCATACCACTGCAGACATTCAATTAAATTTAAGGACTTACGCGAGCAACCAAACTTACCTAACACCAGCCACAATGCCTCGCGGTTCACCGTATCAAATGCTTTGGTGAAATCAACAAAAAGCGAGTACAATGACTGGTGTCGTTCTCTGCACTTCTGCAACTGACGAGCCGCAAACACCATACCTATAGTGTTGCGACCCGAACGGAATCCGCACTGCTCTTCCGCCACGTTAGGTTCCACAACCTGAATGACGAGGCGGTTGAACTTGATTCGGGCAATCACCTTGACCACACAACTCAGCAAGTTGATGTCACGATAATTCGTGCAACATTGCTTGCTTCCTTTGCCCTTGTACAGTAGTAGCACAAAGGCATCCTTCAGTTCAGGAGGCACCTCCTCTTCAATCCATCCACCTGTATAATGATGATGATGATGCACGAAGTGGTGCAGCGCGCTCACCAACGCAGGTCCGCCGTGTTTCAATACTTCAGGCGGGATCCCGTCGGCTCCGGCACACTTGCCGTTTCGCAGCTGAACAGGTGCTCTCTGCGTCTCATCCAGTATCGGCATGTCCGCCAGACTTGCCTTCACACCATGCTGCTTGAGGCCGTTCAATGTAGGCCAGTCGATCTCTAAACGGTTGTTTAAGAGTCAAAGTGTTTTTGCCAGATCTGCATTATGTCTATAGTCTGTGTGCCGGTAGCGCCTGAACTACCATCGATCAGTGTCCTCAGCGGCTCCAATCCCGGTCCATACACCGCCTTCAAGGAGTCAAAACATTCCTTGTGTTGGCGGCGTTCGGCGTAGCATTCCATCTGCTTCGCCTTCTCCATCCACCATGCACTTTTAATGCGAGGGAGATTTCGGGTCAGTCGTCGTCGAAGTTTGCGAAACTGACTACTTCTCCCCAATTCACTGGGGTCTACCACATGTGCAGCAAATGCTGCATTCTTCTCACACACCAATGCACCTATCGTCGCATTGTTCTTATCAAACCAATCAGGCCGCTTACAGTTTGCGCGCCTGATAGTCTCCTCGGCAGCAGTTGTCACCTGGTCGCGAATGTGGTGCCACTGGTCGCCTACTGTGGTTATGCATTCCACATTACACAGGCATGCACCCATCGCCTTCTCCAGTTCAGTACGTTTCGCCACAGTACCGAGGAAGAGAAGGTTACATTTACGCCGATTTACGGCGGGACTGCAATACATAGATTTGCAGTGCGGTGCGCACCAATTTGTGATCAGTGCCACACTCAGCTCCACGCACTACACTTGTCATGCGCACTTTACGCATATCACGCTGACGTACGGACATGCTCACCTTAACACCAGGATTTCGGGATCGACTTCGCTTGTTTTTTCCACCGTCAGATTCTGTTAGAGACTCAGCTTCCCTAGAAAGCAAAACATACGCACCTTAGAGAAGCTTTAAAATGTTTCGAAATACTGCTAGTTTGGGTTGATGATTCAACTGTTCATTTGTTCTCCGAGCTTGAGATGCGCATCTCACTGCATTGAGGATGCCACCTCGCATAGTGGTGAACCGTTTGCGACAAAACCGCCAATCTCGGAGAACAAATGAACAATTGAACCAAAGACAAGCTGTTGCTCGTCATGTGTGAAAAGTTTTACTGGACCAGATTTCTTCTCAAGCGAATAATGAGTAATCTATCCAGTGATATGATCCAGCCATTGAGTTCCTTAGCTAATAAACCATCGCGGCATTGAAGGTAATGACTGTGCTGTCACCACTAGCGACATCGGTACGTGAGTCTAGGCGAGAGTGACCTGTGCAACACAAGACACCAGTATGCAACGTCTGTGACTGTAATACGCGTAATCTAGCTTGCATAGGTTCACAAATGCACCGACAGCAATGCAAAGGCGATCGATAAACAAGCGTTCTTCCAATTCGATAATTCCTCAGGATAAAACATGAACGCTGTCCCACGTTAAGAGACGACATGGAGAAGATACCATCAAACTAGTTATTTCCACCACCCTCTCACTGTGGCTGTGGTGCATGTCGTTCTGACAAGCTTGGATGACGTGGTTGATCTTCTCGGCGCCAAGTAACCCTGACACGTCGCTCAGTGTAAACTGTTTGGCAAATGTGGAGAGTATACGCTTGAATGAGTCGTTTTTCGGGTCTA